CCCCCCCCCCCCCCCCCCCCCGCTCCGCCGGACGACATAGATAGCACCCAACACATAAACTCCCTGAAAAACAAGGATCCCAGGTTCTGGCAACTGCAAATATTTTAGCTGCCGCAAACGCCACGTCGCGAGTCTCTCGTGGAGCATCCCCTACCAAGAAGAAACGCCGGATTTCATGCCACCCCGGCCGGTTGCCAACGTTGAATCACTATCGCCAAGAAATCATGGTCTGAGATTAGGGTCGAGGAGCGACCGAGGGAAGCGTGGGCGATGGAGGGCGGAGAACGGACGAGAAAGTCGCGAGACAAGGAAGGGGGACGAAGAGAGGGGAAGGTGGGCGGGGAGGGGTGCTCAGACTTACTCAATTGAGCGGCTTCTTCTAGAGACCGCGCCAACAATGCAGCCCCGTGAAGTACCCAAGATTTTTTGCAAATCATTCCATATCATTTATCCACGGGCCATCAGCTGTCACCGAATGATCAGTTGGTACAGCCAAGGACGTTGCTCCGCTCTTTGTGAGTTATACATTCGTCTACCCTGTGATACCGACACATCTACGCGCCGAGCTGTCCTTCGTGCTGTTTTCCGTACAGGAACCAGCATCCACGACACACCGTGGGCACCAAGAAGGCAGCCAGCGAGAAACGGCTTGCTCTCCAACGCTGCAACAGTCTCAACCTGCCATGTTTCCTACGACACCCTCTTGTTTCGTCCCGCCAGTAAGAAGCGCTTCCCCAATAACTACTGCTGTCGACGACGTGTGTTGAGAGGCCGCCGTGTTTCTCATCTGCCGTGGTCTACTGCTCCTCACCAAAAGCCACCAAAACCTCGTGTCGTTTCGCCCGGATCCTCATGTACTTCAGCTCCCCCTTTGGATTGACGTCCCTCACCACCCCGCGCGCCTTGAGAGCCAGGTGTCTCATGGCATCGGCGTAGATCTCGGCCGTTTCCTGGGACATCGTCGGAAACCTACGTAAAACCTGACGAACATATGATAGGCGTTCATTTTCAGGCCAAGTGTCGGACAGCGTACCGAACCTACAACAGCAATGTCCAGGGCCTGATGTGCGCAACGAATGAAGCATGAGAGTGCCAAATACTGAACATTTCTTTTCTTTTTGGTTGACCTGAACGCCACACAAACAAGTACGTCGATGTACACAACTCACGAGGTGCTGTGTCAGGCTAGGCACGCTTCTTTGCATGTCTGTAAGCGCCAGCGGTTACACGTCTGAGTTTTCTTTGTAGGTCAGTCTTGCCAGAGGTACAATGAAACGATTAAACGTTGTGTGTGCTTAGCCCTTGGCCTGAAAGGCAACGCACATTCCGTGCCCGAGGCGATTGAGTAAAGTGCTGTGGCTCGTCGGGACAAGAAGTGAGCGCGCGCATAAGATGGCAGAGGCCTACGACGAAGAACGAGCCCAATCTACTTGGTTGTCCAACGTTAGGGCCATCAAAGGATATTTAGGGTCGGCGCACAACTGCCTCGTCTCGCCAACGTGCTGCATGCTCCGGTGCAGTAGCAAAGCTTGTTCTATCTTCCCGGGCCGGCCTTACCTGCCCTTCCATGTCGCATATGACATATCCTTCCACGCCCGGCTGGACCTTGATTCGTTCCAGAGTTTCCTCAACCTCCGACTTGAGAAACCGATCAAAGTGGGGTCAAAGGAGAAAGTGGGAGGAATATTGTATGGGTCTCTATGTGACGCCCTTCGAAATCTTCGCACAACACGGACCATACGGCACAGAGAAATACATGAATGAAGTACGAAGAAATAGGTGCGCTTACATACTACGTACGTACAGACTTAAATTCTCCTCTTACGATGTTCCTGCGAGGGTATTCTTTGTCACAGCGTATCTGCACCATCTCTTCCCTCGCAGAAGATACCGTGAGGGACAGCTTTTCACCCTTGCAACTCGACGGTTGTCACGCCATGTGGGAAAACTACCACGGTCCCACAACCGCTCTGAGGCCTGCCGGGCCGCTCTCGCGAGGCGAAAGGGAAGAAGCTACCAGGACTGAAGCTCTGGAAGAATTTCCCTGTGGAACCGAAGTAGGCAGAGAACTCACACACCAAGAGGGCAACATCGTCCTTAGGCGCGGAAAAGCCTGTGACTTCTACGACCCGTATTGGCGAGTGGAATTCAGCGACAACGACTGGGAAGAACTCACTCAAAGGGCGCTACAACGAGGCATGGATCTCGCGACAAGACTCCCGCCGTCAACGGCTCAAGGATCCTGGAATAATACACTGTCGACAGTTCCCCGCTGTACATGCGGGAAGCTGGGGGGGGGGGTTAGCGGCAGTGTGAATGAAGTACAGGATTCAGATATTCTTTCGTCGTTGAAAACCGGTCCTCGTCAGGGGAAGGTCGCCTTCAGCAGCGGAAAATCGCCGTCGACAGAAGAAGATCATCGTCGGCAGTTGAAGATCGTCTTCGTCAGTAGAAGAACGTCTTCGACAAGTTGAAGACCGTCTTGTTAGTTGAAGTTCACCTTCGACAGTTGAAAATCGCCTCCATCGGCGCAAGGTCATCTTCATCGGTTCAAGATCGTCTTCGTCAGGGAGTCCGGCTCACGACGGCCAACGCACTAACGGCCGTCGTCCAACGTTGACGATCTCTGAAATGTAACATCGACGTCGACCTTGAGACCGACATCCGTCCTTCACTAGGTTCAAATCCCTTGCGGGGTCTAACCTAGGAAGGGCGGCACCCTCCCTCGTCCAGGTCTATATTCCCGGCGTGGTATGACCTGGTGAGGGAGCAGCGAGCACTCTGCGCCTCCTTAGCATTTTTGTGTTTTTCAACACATAGACAATATATGCTGGGGGGGTGTCACGGCAGCAGAGTGCCCGCTTTAATACGTTGATCCAGCACGCTGCGAAGCGGGCTGGGGATGGCCAGTGTATGTCTCAAAAATACCCGAATCAGTTGCGGACCCTCCTCTTGGGTCAGTTAACCCCAGTGACTTTTTGCCGCTGCCCTTATTAAGGAAGAAATGAACCCCCAAGTGCTAAAAGAGCAAGCTATCTGAGAGCTACTCAGACCTGTGAGTCAGTATACCTACCTAAGATAGGCTAGGATAAGCCAGTTCTACCGTTGTCCTAACTAGAGATGCAACTGTTGCTCTATATTTTAGATAAGGTATTAGATCCACCCCACATGAGGAAACCCCAAAAATAATCAATAATCATCGATGAACCCCAGCCAGTGGTTGTTGCGCTAAAGCATGAGTAGCAGTAAATCACCTACTACGATGCATTATCACCACTGTGACATCTGTCAGCGATATCTTGTGTGCTTTACCATTCAAACAAAACTCTGTGTCACCCTTGTCTGGTCTTCTAAAACACCTACGTTAAGGGGTAGTGGTACCTTGCAACAACGACAGTTGGGGCATGATTGAAAAGCTAAGTTGAAGTCTAACTAAACCCTAGTGCAACACAAGAATTTCGTGGAGATCTTGCAAGCTTATCAAACGTCGCCTAATGTAGGTGCAGGGTACATTCCTCCTTATGACTGCTCGGAAAAGGTTCGGCGTCAAACCCTCTCCGAGCGGTGTGTTACATCATGTGCGCCGGCGCATTCGATACACACTCTGATTACGTGCAGCACAAGCACGACCACAGCAGAGTATTGCGCAACATAATTCCAGTTGTCTTCACATTTGAAATCCGCGTATAGCATGCGGCGTATCAAGATGTTCCGACTGCACTGCAGTTGGTTTGTCCCGTGGCACCACGTGCTCGGCGAGCACAGCCGTCTCCTCTAGCATGGGAATTGAACAATACAGCAGACGGCGGTCGTAGACACGTTGCATGCATGTTGCATGGCGAGTGCATTCACTTTGGAGAAGGATTGAAACGCGGTGCTTTGTGTTCGGCATGGCTTGTGAAGACCGGGCACCACAGGCCCGTTGGTGGTGAGTGACTGCATGCTTCAGTTCAACGACATAGTCTAGATCGTCCGAACGCAAACCGACAACCGCATATGCTTGACTCACCATGCCCCTGCCTTTAGGCGCCCTGCCTCTCGATTATTTGAGACAGCGTGCGGTCCTCTGCTGTTTGTCCCGATCTCTCAGCTCTTTGAAACTCGGACACCCTTACAACAACGAGAGTTTGAGAACGTCGGTACATGGTGCTTCGTCGAGAAAACGGTCCTGCTGCGAATATAATTTTTCAAAGAAAACAGTTACAAAGCGATTTGATTGGCGCACGCGGCAACAGAGAGGGAGAGATAGATGGAGGCAGAGGCTTGGGGGCCCGAGGCAGGGAAGCAGGGTGAGGCAAAACACACCCAGGCGCTGCTTAGCGAGGAACGAGCGCCGGAGTTGGCGGCTGTGCTAGCATCATGCGGTTCCTTCATTTGATCCGGCCGGTCATGTGCGTCCTCCCTGAGGTCGCACAACCGGACCGCAAAGTGAGTCAAGTTTTTGTGTCCCTTGTTCTCACGAGCGGGCGGTTGTGGGGAGAGAGAGGGGTTGGATGGGCAGCACGGTGAGCGGTCAGCGACAGAGATGAGCCACACGCCCTCATCGCATGTCTACGCCGTGGCTCAGCTCCCCGGCCGCCGCTCGAAAGATGACAGCACACATCTGTCTATCTCCCACCCCGTCTCTTTTGCTCGGGGTTAGATTGTTTCGTGTAGGTGTGAGTGTATGCGGCTGTGGGGTGGGGGTGTTTTTATGACTCGTTGCGGGCAGAGAAGAACCGGCGCGCAGCTTGTGGGCAGTAAGCGACAGGCTCTGGTTGCTTGCTTGGCCCATGGTCTTGGCGATGGATGCGTCAGGACGAGGACAACCCTAGCTGCATCCTTGCCTCAGCTTGGACCCAAACAGGTTGCACCTGCTGCTATGTTGTCGTGTTTTTTGTTCGCGATGGTGTCGTGGTGACACACATATGGTGTGTTCGTTGGTCGACCCACGTAACGCTGCATGCAGAGTGCAGCATGCAGAGGCCCACTAAGCTGCTGCACTCGTCCGCACCCGTAAGGCCATCCGTCCGCACCCGTGAGGCCATCAGCCATGCACCTCGTTCGAACTGAGGGCAATGGAAAGAGATGGCAGGCTGCGTAGAGTCCTGAAATACCGCCGAACATCTTGGGTATGTGCCTACGGTGCAGACGGACTGCGCACCTAACGATCGGGTGACAGCAGCCCATGTACCCTGCTGGCGTACACACAGCGGTGTTGATGCTCTCGCATCCCAGCACTGAATGTAACCTCACCCTCCGTAGAGGCGTTGCATAACAGCAACAGGTGTTGCCATGTGTTCAGCGTTTTCTCTTGCCATGCGCCGACCACCTAGCTTCCTGGTGCCAGCCGGTATAGCAGCAGCACAGCAGTATTTTTAAAGCATTCTAGAGACCACACCCCTCTTGACCGATGTTCGAGAGCTCGAATACTCTCCCGACAAGCAAAAAGCGGTCATGGCGGCGCCGAAATCGTTGGTGTTGGAAGCACCCAGTCGACACTTTTCCGGAAAGGCATGGTTTGGTTTTGGCATCGCCTTCGTGGTGGCATACCCGAGCTTTGAATGTCGATTCCGAAGAGGATGGGGTATCTTGTATGATCCCACGGCGGGTGCAACCGACTAACGATTTCTGCCAGGGGCGGAGAAATTGCGGTTGCGGTTGCGGTTGCGGTTGTTGGCGCCCAAGTTGCCACAGTGCCCCTCGAGCTGAAGAGCTGCAAGGTTACCATTCGTTCACACAACGTACAAGCCGGTATTTGCTGTTGGGGAATGGCTAGCGCAACGACCGTTGCTGGGCGTCGTGGTACTCAGCTAAAAGAAAGCGCCCAGAACTTTCCATGACACGCGCATGAGACACACCGCAAATTCGGCCAGCAAGTGCGTAACCTATATGTTTTTACATGTAGTCTACATCCACGGATAGATGAGGTTACTTTTTACCGCTTGGCTCGTCATTGTCAGCATCACGGGCTGGTGAATGCTGCTGCAAAAACGCCCTTCAACATTTTTCCACATCCACACCAACGCCCCACAACTCGCCTGACGGGCGAGCCCAATGACTACTACTGTACATACGTAAGAATCGTGTTCGCGTTTTTACAGCAGTACACTTGTGCAAGGCTGAGGTTTTGTCATTGGTCAGCCGTTTAGCCTAGTCGACCCTATTGATGTTAAAGAAACACAGCACACCGCATATACACATTTTTTTCTCTTTCGAAAGAGTGCTCTGCTTGTGCTGTACGCATTCACATCACCACCCCCGACCGCCTACTCAGCACAATACCCACTACCTACCTTTCAACAACCCTTTCTTCCGTTTGTGCCTATTTTCTTCTTCTTTTTTTCCGGAAAACAAAAACAAACAATCAGATCCCTTTCCGGGAGAAAGTGCTGTGGACCGTGATCACGCTCTTCATCTTCCTAGTGTGCTGCCAGATTCCCATCTACGGCGTTCAGTCGGCCAAGTCGTCGGACCCGTTCTACTGGATGCGTGTCATCCTCGCCTCCAACCGTGGCACGCTCATGGAGCTCGGTAGGTCGCGATGATGTCTTTTTTTTTCTGTGTATGTCTTCATCATTCGCATGGACCGCGGTAACTGGCTGACTGACCAATGAAAAGACGTCAGCCTCAGTGCGGGTGAAAACACGAAACACTTGCCAATGCCATGAGCTGGGACGCCGAGAGGGGAGCCCATGGGGGAGGCTAAGCTATTCTCCGGATTAATGGCAGAAATGGTAGCAACAAAGGAGGAAGACTGAGTTCGTTTTGGAGTGCTTTCACCATCATCCTCCTGTGTGTGTGCAAGTGTGTGTGGTTTGTTTTTTCTTCTGCAGTAACGAAGGTCGTAGTTTTTTTGTCGTGCTCATGTTTCGGAGTGGGTGCTGTATGGTCATTTTAGTCAGCATCGACCGCGCTGCCCGGTTGACCAATGTGAAGACACCAAGCACCGCTGTTTGTAGCGAGACATGGGACCTCAAAGGAAATCGGGGTGGGTGGGGAATGTCTTCACCTCGTGGCGCTCTCCGCACCGAAATGGCGGAAACACGCTAGACTACGTACCCGTGTGTGTGCGACAACACTTGTTTGGTGGCACGCCGCAAAGTACCGTTGCTGTTGTAGCAGTTCTTGCAAGCGGCCTCGTTCGCTGGTTGCATGAGCCCTAACCGCCGACCTCCCGCGGGAACAGGGAAGCTGCCGTTGTTTTTGAAGAGATCGCCTGGAAGCGACGGAAGTGGGTACAAGCCGGGGGTGGGGTGCAGGGCGCGACGCGCGGCAAATTGTTACGCACTTGAGACTTTGTTGCTGACTGTCACTGCGATGCCGATAGAGATCCAAATCGACGTTCCCTGTGCCATACCGTGTGTGTTGCGTTCCTGTCCCCTTAGCGTTGTCTCTTTCGTGTCGTGTGCTTGTTTGTACGTATGCGCGCGGGGGGGTGCGGGGACAGGTATTTCGCCGATCGTGACGTCATCACTCGTTATGCAGCTGCTCGCCGGGTCTCGAATCATCGAGGTTAACCAGTCCATCAAGGAAGATCGGGCTCTGTTCAGCGGAGCGCAGAAGGTGAGCCAGCAGCACTGCAAGAAGAGAGGGGGGGTTTGTGGTTTGGTGTCGTGGGTAGGCGGTATATACGGCGTTACTGACCCCCCCCCCCCCCCCCCCCCCCCCCCCCCCCCCCCCCCCCCCCCCCCCCCCCCCC